GGTGTATCACATTGATTGATTTGCATATATTGAAGAATCTTTGCATCCCTGGGGTAAATCACATTTGATCATGATGTATGATCATTTTAATGTGTTGTTTGATTCTGTTTGCTAGTATTATTTTGTTGAGGATTTTTGCATCTATATTCATCAGTGATATTGGTCTGTAATTTTCTTTTTTTTGTAGTGTCTTTGTCCTGTTTTGGTATCTGGGTGATGGTGGCCTCGTAGAATGAGTTTGGGTATGTTCCTTCCTCTGCAATTTTTTGGAAGAGTTTGAGAAGGATGGGTGTTAACTCTTCTCTAAGTGTTTGATAGAATTCACCTGTGAAGCCATCTGGTCCTGGAATTTTATTTGTTGGAAGATTTTTAATCACAGTTTCAATTTCAGCGCTTGTGATTGGTCTGTTCATATTTTCTATTTCTTCCTGGTTCAGTCTCGGAAGGTTGTGCTTTTCTAAGAATTTGTCCATTTCTTCCAGGTTGTCCATTTTATTGGCATAGAGTTGCTTGTAGTAGTCTCTTATGATGCTTTGTATTTCTGTGGTGTCTGTTGTAGCTTCTCCTTTTTCATGTCTAATTTTATTGATTTGAGTCCTCTCCCTCTTTTTCTTGATGAGTGTGACTAAAGGTTTTTCGATTTTGTTTATCTTCTCAAAGAACCAGACTTTAGTTTTATTGATCTTTGTTATTGTTTTCTTTGTTTCTATAACATTTATTTCTCCTCTGATCTTTATGATTTCTTTCCTTCTACTAACTTTGGGTTTTGTTTGTTCTTTCTCTAGTTCCTTTAGGGGTAAGGTTAGATTCTTTATTTGAGATTTTTCTTGGTTCTTGAGGTAAGATTGTATTGCTATAAACTTCCCTCTTAGAACTGCATTTGCTGCATCCTATAGGTTTTGGAACATCGTGTTTTCATTGTCATTTGTCTCTAGGGTACATTTTTTTAATTTCCTCTTTGATTTCTTCAGTGATCTCTTGGTTATTTAATAATGTATTGTCTAGCCTCCATGTGTTTGTCACATTTTTTTTCTCTGTAATTGATTTCTAGTCTCATAGAATTGTGGTCAGAAAAGATGCTTGATATAATTTCAATTTTCCTAAATTTACCGAGGCTTGACCTGTGACCCAAGTTGTGATCTATCCTGGAGAATGTTCCGTGTGCACTTGAGAAGAAAGTGTAATCTGCTGCTTTTGGATGGAATGTCCTGTAAATACCAATTAAATCTATCTGGTCTATTGTGTCATTTAAGTCTTTTGTTCCCTTATTAATTTTCTGTCTGGATGATCTGTCCGTTGGTGTAAGTGAGGTGTTATAAAGTCCCCCACTATTACTGTGTTACTGTCGATTTACTCTTTTATAGCTGTTAGCAGTTGCCTTATGTATTGAAATGTTCTTATGTTGGGTGCATATATATTTATAATTGTTATATCTTCTTCTTGGATTGATCCCTTGATCATTATGTAGTATCCTTCTTTGTCTCTTTTAACATTATTTTAAAGTCTATTTTATCTGATATGAGTATTGCTACTCCAGCTTTCTTTTGATTTTCATTTGCACGGAATATCTTTTTCCATCCCCACACTTTCAGTCTGTATGTGTCCCTAGGTCTGAAGTGGGTCTCTTGTAGACAGCATATATATGGGTCTTGTTTTTGTATCCATTCAGTGAGCCTGTGTCTTTTGGTTGGAGCATTTAATCCATTCACGTTTAAGGTAATTATCAATATGTATGTTCCTATTGCCACTTTCTTAATTGTTTTGGGTTTGTTTTTGTAGGTCCTTTTCTTCTCTTGTGTTTCCCACTTAGAAAAGTTCCTTTAGCATTTGTTGTAAAGCTGGTTTGGTGGTCCTGAATTCTCTTAGTTTTTGCTGGTCTGTAAAGCTTTTGATTCCTCCGTGGAATCTGAATGAGATCCTTGCCGGGTAGAGTAATCTTGGTTGTAGTTTCTTCCTTTTCATCACTTTAAATATATCATGCTACTCTGTTCTGGCTTGTAGAGTTGCTGCTGAGAAACCGGCAGTTAACCTTATGTGAGTTCCTTTGTATGTATTTGTCTTTTTTCCCTTGTTGCTTTCAATAATTTTTCTTTAATTTTTGTTATTTAATTACTATGTGTCTCAGTGTGTTTCTCCTTGGGTTTATCCTGCCTTGGACTCTCTGCACTTCCTGAACTTGGGTGGCATTTCCTTTCCCATGTTAGGGAATTTTTTGACAATAATCTCTTCAAATATTTTCTCAGTTCCTTTCTATCTCTCTTCTCCTTCTGGGACCCCTATAATGTGAATGTTGGTGTATTTAATGTTGTCCCAGAGGTCTCTTAGGCTGTCTTCATTTCTTTTCATTCTTTTTTCTTTATTCTGTTCCATGGCAGTGAATTCCACCATTCTGTCGTCCAGGTCACTTATCCTTTCTTCTGCCTCAGTTATTCTTCTATTGATTCCTTCTAGTGTAATTTTCATTTCAGTTATTGTATTGTTAATCCCTGTTTGTTTGTTCTTTAATCCTTCTAGGTGTTTGTTCTTTAATTCTTCTAGGTCTTTGTTAAACATTTCTTGCATCTTCTTGATCTTTGGCTCCATTCTTTTTCCGAGGTCTTGGATCATCTTCACTATCATAATTTTGAATTCTTTTTCTGGAAGGTTGCCTAGCTCCACTTCATTTAGTTTTTTTTTCTGGGGTTTTATCTTGTTCCTTCATCTGGTACATAGTCCTCTGCCTTTTCATTTTGTCTATCTTTCTGTGAATGTGGTTTTCTTTCCACAGGCTGCAGAATGGGAGTTCTTCTTGCTTCTGCTGTCTGCTCTCTGGTGCATGAGGCTATATAAGAGGCTTGTGTAAGCTTCCTGATGGGAGGGACTGGTGGTGGGTAGAGCTGGATGTTGCTCTGGTGGGCATAACTCAGTCAAACTTTAATAGGCTTGTCTGCTGATTGGTGGGGCTGAGTTCCCTCCCTGTTGGTTGTTTGGCCTGAGTCGACCCAGCACTGGAGGCTACAAGCTCTTTGGTTGTTCTAATGGCAGACTCTGGGAGGGCTCACACCAAGGACTGCTTCCCAGAACTTCTGCTGCAAGTCTCCCCATCCCTGTGGTGAGCCACAGCCACTCCCTGCCTCCACAGGAGACCCTCCAACACTAGCTGGTAGGTCTGGTTCAGTCTCCTATGGGGTCACTGCTCCTTTCCCCTGGATCCTGATGTGCACACTACTTTGTGGGTGCCCTCCAAGAGTGGAGCCTCTGTTTCCTCCAGTCCTGTCAAATTTCTGCAATGAAATCCCGCTGGTCTTCAAAATCTGATTCTGTGAATTCCTCCTTCTATTGCCAGATCCCCAGGTTGGGAAGCCTGATGTGGGGTTCAGAACCTTCATTCCAGTGGGTGAACTTCTGTTGTATAATTGTTCTCCAGTTTGTGAGTCACCCACCCAGCAATTATGGGATTTGATTTTACTGTGAATGCGCCCTTGCTGCCATCTCACTGTGGTTTCTCCTTTGTCTTTGGATGTGGGGTATCTTTTTTGTTGAGTTCCAATGTTTTCCTGTCAATAATTGTTCAGCAATTAGCTGTGATTCTGGTGCTCTCTCAAGAGGGAGCGACCACATGCCCTTCTACTCCACCATCTTGAACCAATCTTAACCTTAGCTCTTTACACATAGAAGACCTTCAAAAAATACTGCTGCTGACTCACTGAACTTACTGTCCTGGAAAGAACCTCAGGTTCTCCAAAGCAAAAGGGGCAATGAGGACCTCTCCCCAGGGTGGCAGGGACTGGAGCGGAGACTTTGGGGACTGAGGTCACTGACAACCCAGGAGGAGGGCAGAGGCAGGAGCCCAAGCCTGCAGCCTTGACTCAGTGCCCAGCACCCTGCTGCCCTTGAATTAGAGCCTCTCAGCCTTGCCCAGCCCTGGTTGGAAAACCAAGAGCTTTAGATGTGATCTTCTGAGGTGTGACCCTGACTCTTGCTGCCTGAGAACAAAGGCCGATTAGGGCTCTTTTGTGAGAGGTAGCTGAGTGGAAGCTGAGGGCTGCTTCCCCAAAGGGTGGCCTGATCACTGGCTGCATTTCTGAAATAAATGCCCCACCTGTGCCCACTTTTCTAATCGGTAACATCCCAGCCTTTAGCAGGGGTTCTTCAGCTCTCCCCGACCCATGTGGGGACTGTCTTGATCTTTGGAATCCTTTTGGAACATCTCCCCCCGCGACACCTCCAAGTGCTCTCCGACATAAACTTCACCCTCTGAGGAAACAGGCTCTGGGAACACGACTTCAAAGCTTGGCGATGTGGGCTCCTCGCAGAAGTACTTGAAGCAACAATGAGCTTGAACCAGGTCTGGGTCGGGCTCCGAGTGGGCACGCCTGGACCTGGCAACTATTGTGTCCAAAGTCACGGGGCAGCCACAGATGAACAATGCACCTGGCAGCCCACAAGGGTCTCTTTCAAAGCTAAGTTGCTCTTGCCAGCTGTGCCAAGCAGAGGACCTGCATACACAAACTGTCATTTATTTTTTTCAATATCAAAGAATTACACTAAATGAAAATCGTAATTTTTTTTTCTTTTTTTATAATAAATGGAGTATAACCACATCAAAGGAAAAATTTACACAAAAGAAAGAACAAGTCCTCCTGTGATCCTAGGCCTCTCAACCACCATGATCTTTCGGATGCCTCTATCTCTAGTGTTTCTCTTTTCTTTTTTATTTAAAACCATTGTCGTAAGTATATAAAAATTTGCCTCTCTGTTGCTTGTTTAACTGAGAATCATTACAGGCACAGAGGTGCTGTATCATCTTTTTATGTATTGTTTTCATGGGTATAGAGCTTTCCCTCAAAGTGATTTGCTGTGACAAACTCAAACATTTTTCGTTTTTGGAGAATGATGTGCTATTATAAATAAGACTGGTGAATATTCCTGGACTATTAACATGCCAGAATTTATGACTTGTTTTGTTTTGCATTTTGATAATTCTGCCATTTTTCTTTTTCTCTTTGTCCAAAATGGAGACTCCAAATTCATTGCCTCTAGACATGTGTGAGACTGCAGTGTTCAGGTAACGTGATTTTTTTTTTTTCATATCCCAACATTTTATTAGGAAAATTTTCAAACATACTGAAAAGTTGGACGAATTTTGTAATAGACACCCATAGACTGATTCAGGGCGACCTTTGAGCACAAACATAATCTTTGAAGATGCTGAGCAGCAATTAACCTGTAGATACAGAAATGTCTGTTGTTTTCCACCTGGTGCTCCTTGAATGTAATAACCATGGCAATTTATTGTTATAAGATTTTATAGCCTTTACTGATTTTCAAAATGCCTTCAGGCCTATTTTCTTACTGTATCCTCAACATCCTCAAGGTTTAGCCAAGGCAGGTGTTAGCAGGTGTTCTCTGTACGTTTACAGATGAGGAAATGCATGATCCGAGAGGTTAAGGGGACTGCCTAGGGCCACACAGTAAGACAAGTGCCATTGCAATACCAGGGCTGAGCTCTCAGCTGAGCCACGCTCCTACAGAAATGTCTCCCCTTCATTTATTAACTTATTAATTAATGACAGGTTTTCTACAGCCCTTTCAGCTCCCTGATTCTGCTTGTCTGTGACTTTGGATCTTTTCAGGATACGAAGGCAGGGGCATGTGACACTGTAGTTCTGCCACCATAAATACCAACGTGAGGATTAAAGACCAGCTGCAAGGGGATTTCAAAAGCCCCATCGAATCCCAACACTTTTCTCAAGACACAATTTATCTTTGTCTGTGAAAGTAGGGCTAATTTAGACAACAATTAGACCCCAAAAGTAATTGTGCACATGAGCTGGGTTGTCTCCCTTGGAGAAGAATCCAAGAAGATTCTGGATGGTTCTGGAGGCAGGGGGTTCACTCTGGAATAGTAACCACCAACACCACCCTCTCCACATCTCCTGCCTGAAACTAGTAAAAAGAGTCCCTGCCCACGCCTCCAATGTGGATTGTCACCAGGAACGGTGGCTTTTCCAGAATGGCCCATGCTCCAGCGTCCATGTCCCACCTGGGGAAGCAGCCTTCGATGCCCAAGAAGGCACCATGGTGGGACCTGGGGCCACATCCACCATGCAAAGTGCCCCTGGGATCTGGGGCACGAGGCATCCTCACTGGATCTCATAGGCTGTCCTTCCCCAACTTCCTTATTTTTATTCCTCCATCAGAGCAAGTCAACTGTCTCCACACTTGCTCTAAAAACATGTTTAACGTGCACTGACACAGGCATCGTTACTCCATTTTACAGACGAAGAAACTGAGCCTGGGAAGTTATCGAGAGCCATGACCATCTCGGAAGAGACCAGCTCATCTCAGAAGTGATCTCGCTGAGAAAGGCTGTTATTTTCCACCAGGTCACGGGGCCCACTTTGCATCTACAAGGAGAAGCTTGTGCAGTTGGGCTCCCCTCCTGCCTCATGTTGTCTGGACCCTGGGGCCAGTCTTATTTTGCATGAACAGATTTGTCCTGGTCCCAGCGATTCTTTACTGGTGTGGAGACTGGAAGTAGGAGCCCGAGGTCCACCAGGCACGGGGGCTCGTAGAGATGGTTATGCTCAGGGCATGGGGTCTGGGGATGGCGCAGCTCTTCTACAGAAAAATGCCCTCTGTCCTCTGCATAGTCCATGGTAGCCAACCTTAGTTTTGTCTTGCTTTGTTTTTTTCTCTTCAGCCTCCAGAAGAGTGTATGTTCAACATAAAGAATAAAGCATGAGTGAGCTCTGAAAGCCACTGGGGAGACCTCCTTTTACTGGGGACATCTGCTTGTCCTTGCCCTTTGGAGAAATCAATGAATTTGATTTTTGGACAGGTGAAAATATTCACTGGAACACCATGGGTGAACAAAGTCCACCCTCCCAGCCCTCATTGATTTCTCTGAAGTTGGCCAGATGTTGTCACAATTTCCCTGTAACAGGTCCTGGGGAAATTCTGTGCTGAAAATAGCACCCGGGAGCTGGTGGCTGCAAATGGGTCAGTTATTCCAGGACTCTTCTCAGAAACAAATACAAACCTTATAACAAAACCCATTGCACCAGTAGAAATCCCATGGAGATGCCTTCATAATTTGGAACTTCATGATTCGTAGCTTCTTACTTTCAGCTAAATGATGGAAAAGTTCCCACATGGGATCAGTTATGAAATCCACAGCTAAGTCAGCCTCCTCCTGGGGCTGGTGGGCTGGGAACTGCAGTCAGTTTTGATGGAATAGAGGACCCCCAGGAAATGAACCTGGAATGCTGGAGACTGGGGAGAGTTTTGTCCAAAACATGTCTCTCTCTCTCTCTCTCTGCCTCTCTCTCTGCACACTGTGACTTACTAACCTCTTTCCTTTAGCCAGTAGCCTCAACTGTATTTTCACCACATCATTATTTCTGTGGCCTGGACATGCCAATGGGATGTCAACATTATTCTGATAAGAATTTTATTTTATCATGAGGATTACAGGCAAATGACATAACAGCTTTCTGTTCACCAAGGAATCTCTAGCAAAGGGGAAAAAAGCAGATAATCCAGGGGAGGAGGAAGGGCACTCACTTTTATTGCACTCCTCCTAAATCCAGGTGCTTTACATAGATTACCTCAGATCAGTTCATCCTAGGCAACAGCCTTGTGAGGATCATCATTCAACAGACAAAGAAAGGGAGACTTAGGGGGGTTGAACAAGTTACCCAAGACCTCAAGACCTGAGCTTAAAAGCAGGCAGATGCAGGGGCCAAAGTCTAGAATCTTTCCACTGACAAAGCACCATCTCTACATGCAGAATACCTTGAACTCTTAGACTAACTCCCAAGGCTGCAGACCAGCAGGAGAGAAGTGAGGGCAGCTACCTGGTGTCTTGGGGCTGAGAAGAGGTCCCCTGGGGAGCCTTGGACAAACCAGAACCACAGCAGCTCGGGGCCCGTCTTCCTTCTCCAGACGCAGCTCTCCCCTTGCTCGGTGAGAAAGGACAGATGGACAGCCTGAGCCTTGCCTTCGTTAGGCCGCAGCCTTCCCACTTTGAATGATTCAGGCCCTCCCCTAGCTATCAAGGTATGTAGGGCTGCCCTGTCACCTTCAGCCTGCACCAGGGTACAGCAGATGGCGTTCAGGCTGATTCTGCTCCTCTGGTTGACTAATCTCCCGGGCACAAGAGTAAACAGAGAGCTCGGGACACCATATGTCCCTGACTCACCGTGCTGGCCGGAATCACCGCTGTTCTCCATGGCATATGACTTCCTGGGCCCAGGTGGAAGGTGGGTCAGAGGAAACCTGCCTGAAAGTTACAGGCGGAAAGATTATAGACGTAAAGACACACATAGGGAGTGGACATCGGTTAGTCATATCCTAAATGACGTTTATTTTTAAAACCTGCTTTGTTTTCCTAGACAGCGTTCCACTTCGGCCATTCCTTCCAGGGGCCAGCACAGCACTGGCCACTGCAGGCCCTCAGGGGATGCGACTGGAATCAAAGGATTGCCTGCCTAATCCATCTTCTTTGTTTACCACTCTGGAATTTCACCCGCAAGTTGGAAAGGAAGCTGACTGTAGTTCAGTTGAAAGATGTCCTCTTGAGATGGGGAAGTGGCATCCTGGTAGGATATCTGTTTCTTCTGACCTCTTCAGAGCCCCCTAAGCAGGAGAACCAAAAGGGCAAGGTTGGAGTGAGGGTGTCAGGGCCTGAGGTAACTGGAGCTCTTCTGGGGACGCGCGCTTAGCACTCATTAGGAAGATAATGGCTCATGAAACTTCTATCACTCTTTTCTTGGTCAACCAGAATACTGGGAGTATAGGTCCGTCAAGGCCAGAATTCTCAGGTGTAGGATCTCAGGAGTATTGCGCTGGAGCGGTTGGACCTGTCTATTCATTCCTTTCCCACATACAGAGGGTGGGGTGCAGTAACCCACCTAGGTTCATACGGTTGGGAGAGGTCAACATGGATCTATAGGTCTCTCAACGGTCCAGTGCTTTTGTCGAAAGAAAGAATCCAGTGGGACCTCTAGCATTTGAGTCATTCTGAGCTCCTGCCCTGGGACCCCAGGGATGGATGTCTGCCTTTCACACTGCAGGCTTTCGGGCCATAGCCTATACTTGGTAACTGGAGTCACAGGAAGGTTAAGAATGATCCAGAGCAGCAGTAACAGTCAAAGCCATTCTAGACCAAATCTTTAATACTATCAAGAGCTGTTCACGGCAGTTTCTCAGTCCCTATCCCTTCCAACCCTGAAAAATTTGCAAGGTGTTTTTTTTTGTTTTGTTTTTTGTTTTGCTGTACGCGGGCCTCTCACTGCTGTAGCCTCTCCCGTTACGGAGCACAGGCTCCAGACGCACAGGCTCAGCGGCCATGGCTCACGGGCCCAGCTGCTCCGCGGCATGTGGGATCTTCCCGGACCGGGGCACGAACCCGTGTCCCCTGCATCATCAGGCAGACTCCCAACCACTGCGCCACCAGGGAAGCCCTGCAAGGTGGTTCTTATCGCCACTACACAGATGAGGAAGTTGAGACTTTGAAAGACCAAATGAGCCATCCAAAGGTCCACTATTAACTGGACAAGGATGGAATTTGAACTTAGCCCAGAGTCTAAGATAGTTCCGAGGCTCTATTTATAATCTTTAGAAGATAGTTCTCAGACAAAAGCGATCTTATGGATACAGAAGACAGACTGGGGATTTAATGTGGGTGCTTAAGACACTTTGAAAGGTTCCTCTTCCAGGGCAGCAGCTGACAGGTGGAGCCAGATAGAGATGCCCACAGGAGAGCTCACCTGCACTCAATACTCTTCCCAACCTCCTGTCCTGCTGGTCCCTGCCAGGAAGGACATGGGAGTTTCCCAACTTTCTTTATTCTTTGTTTTCTTTCTGTACCTTTTCTTCTAAAGCTAAAATTCTAACTCAAATTCAGGAACGCTGGTAACACGGGTCCACAATGGAATTTTTTGTTTACTCTTTAGGAAGCTGGACTCCATCACTGGGGAACCCACTTGTCCAAGAGAGTGAATTTGCCTTTAAGAAACAAAATCCTAGAAAAATATCTCTCTCCGAGGATGTAGGAATAAAATCCCATGGCTTCTGGTCCAACAGAGTAGACATTTATTGAGGAAGGAGAGCTGGTGCCCAAGTTCAATCGAGCCTCACCCAGGTCACTGCTGCTGGGGACAGGCAGACAGGGCACAAGCCAGTAGGGCTCACATGCAGAAGTGTCTTCACCGCATGGGGTTATCTGGAAAAGAAACCACTTTGAAAAGGCTTATGCTAATATTAGCCAAGTATGTTGGAGTCCCCAGATCACTGTCTTCTGCTGGACTTCTCATTGGAACTTTGTATTCTCCAAGGCCTATGTTGCATCTCCACAGGGAGAGCCCTCTCAGCTGGCACCTTTTAAGGGATGCTACCAGCGCCCCATGTCCCACATGTAGCCCCTTGGCACTTGCCTCTCCACTCCCAGGCACAAGGTACCCAGAACTTCGTCCTGGGAGCACCTTCCTTTCTGCCTGAGGGCTTTCTCAGGCCTCCCAACTCAGAGGAAATCAGGAATCAAAGCATCCCACAGAGGAAATACCCCAGTCCCCACTCCCTGAAGTGGAGCGATTCTGATGCACACTCTTTGCTTCTCCCAGAGGCCCCCACAGGGCTGAGCCCCACGGACACAGCAGTAACTGTGCAATTGTGCTTTAGTGCTTTCTCTTCCCTGTCTTACTCCCCACCTTCCTTACCATTGCTCACAAGGTCACCTTCCAAGGACACTGCTTACAGCTGAATCCTGTTTCTGGGGGAGCCCAAACTAATATATGCCTCAAACTCAGCATGTTTGGGACATGTTTCCCACCCTCTGCTTTTCCCAGTTAATAACAACACCCAAAAGCTCCCAAACAAGAGAGTTGGGGGATCTTTTTCTTTTTTGTGGTACGCGGGGGGCCTCTCACTGTTGTGGCCTCTTCTGTTGCGGAGCACAGGCTCTGGATGTGCAGTCTCAGCGGCCATGGCTCCGCGGCATGTGGGATCTTCACGGACCGGGTCACGAACCCGTGTCCCCTGCATCGGCAGGCGGACTCTCAACCACTGCGCCACCAGGGAAGCCCGGGGGATCATTTTTTATTCTTTTTCTTTCATGTTATAAAGCCCATCTTTCAACTGGTCACTGATTCCTAAGAATAAACCTCTAAAAAATTCTCTCCAATCAATCACTCCTTTACTTCCAGTCCTCTCTAGATACAACCCTCCACAAAACTCTGGGCAACTTTAATAGCTTTCTAAGTCCTCTATGTATCTTTAAGTTATCCTCTCTTCAATCTTTTCTTCATAGAGTCACATGACCTATGTTACGAAAACACAACTTTGACCACATACTGTCCTGCCTGGAAGCTTCTGATCACTGCCTGTGGGACGTCCAAGCCCCTAGCCCTGCACACACCGTCGTGAGCAGGCCCGGATGCAGCCCTCTCTTCTCAAGCTGAGCCTCCTCCCACAGGCAGCCCACCAGACACCCTCGACTTGCAGGTCTCCAAGTCATCCACCTTCTTTGTCAACACTGGGCACTGCACATGCTATTTCTTGACCTTGGAATGTCTTTTCACGTCTTTTTTTGGTCTGATGAATTTTTATACATCCCCAAATAGCCTAACTGAAACCTGGCTTCCTGCCCCTAGCAGCGAGGCCGAGCTCATCTCCCTTCCCTTTCCGCTTGTACATCACGTTGGGTGCAGTACAGTCTCACATGCTCGCGTCTTTCTCGCCTCTTTGCTGTGGGCTC